ACCCACATCTCGTGCTGTACAGACTCAAGCATGCTGCGACGATGCACCGACACAAAGCCTCAGCGACTCAATTTGTTGCTCGGGGGTGCTGGACTTGAAGAGCTTCATTGTGGAAAACCTTGCGAGCGCGAGCACAGCAGTTTCCGCTGCCATTTGCCTCCCGGCCCTTACAGTAGCCCGCCTTGGTCGTGCAACTGAAAAGGTCCTATCTTCGCTCCTTCAGACGCCACGACTCCCAACCTGGCCTTGTGGCCTTGTGCATTTAAAATTCCGAAGGGCCTCTTGCGAGGTACGGGGCGCCGCTCGCGAGAGTAATTGAAAGGAGGAACCAAGTGCAGGCCTCGCGAGGCGATTTCTGTGACACGGCTCAAACGTCTCAAAGGCCGCTGTACCAGGGAACACTACCAAGGGCCCATCTTCAGCTGAGGATGCCACACTCGAAAACTCCAGCGAGAGTGCCTGAGGCGCTCTCTTTACTATGGAGGCATGCACTGCCAAACTTGTTGCGCACGACTTCTCAGATCTGGACCGAATACTGCAAAGGGTCGCACGACGAAAGACAAAGAGCCGAATGTGTTGCGCGACGCACTGTGTTCGCGCACTGGTGCGCAGCCAGCACACACACACACACACGGTGCTTCCGAGCTGACGCATTTGCAAGCAGATGTGCTGTTTGGCCGCATGTATATGATTGTCTCAGGAGCGCAAAAACAATGCGTCTTGTGCCTGAGAGCACTATAGAGGTTAACTGTCCGAAGAATCGGGCCTCTACTGAAGTCGAACGGCAAGGTCATGTAAAATCGACCCTGAGTCTTCGGCTGTGTGAGACAGCTTCCTAACACTACAGTCTGCTGCAACTTCGTGCATTCCCAGGATTGGACCTGCAACTTGCGACCAAAAGCCACAAGAGTATCAGGCCATGATCAGCCGTGCCATCCTTGGACATTCACCCAGGGACGTCTCGTCAGCAGACAGCGTAAAGCGCATGAGCAGTGAACAACCACTGCACACAGCGCACACTGACACACAGACACCTCTTCCTTCAAGCTGCATTGCTTCTCGTAGCCCAGCACGGTGCTCCCCAGCCAGCGCTCCGTCCCCTGAAGATGCTATGCGGTGCTTGTATTCCTGTAGTACAATTACAGTGCCTGGCTTTGGAAATCGCAGACCAAAATCATGGCATGAAAAAAGCTCTGGTTCTTAGAACAAGGAGTTTCAGCGGGATGGGATCTCTACCACTGGACGCACTGACATTGTCTCTGGCCCGTCATGACGTGCAGATTACGTGCAGATTATGGTCATGGCCTGAACTCACTTTGTAAACCACTGGAGAAACAGATCCTCGAGGTCACAGTCACAGACATCACTGCGAAGGAGGGCATCAACCATGGAAGGCAAAAGCCATGTCCACACGCATGTGAACGGACTTTGGATTCCAGGACGCGGAGAGTTTTGGTTGCAGAGTCGCAAACTTCTCACGGAGCAACAGCGGACAGTGTAGGTCATGCACGACGTGTGCCGGCACGTTCCGGCCTCTACGCCTGCCTCCCCACGACGCTCCGAGTAAGACCTTGGAGCACGGAAGAAGCGGAGCCTATGACGTCTTCAAACGAGCCTTTTTTCGCCTTCCTGCTTGTGTTTTTGACCGGCGACACACCCAGGGCGGGTCCGCGGGTCAGCCGCGCCAAGGCCCAGGCTGCACCTGATCAACGTTGACCTGGCCAACAGAGAAGTACTTGGCCTGCGATGGCAAATGCGAAGCACGCTGACAGCATTGCTCTTTGAAAGGCGCGATCTTCAATCTTCGCAGTGCCGGATCGCCGGCCTCCGGGTGTGCGAAGACCAGAGCCGACACAGAGGCGCTTGGCCTGTCGAAATGCAACTAGGACGCCTGCAAGATTGCCATGCCAAAAAAGTATAAGAGCCGGACATCATCATGTAGGACTCGGTCAGGGACAGCTTCTCATCTGTCAGCCTGCGACGCGTTCGATGTCTCCATCGTGTTCCCGACCCCTGCTCGGCCCGTGCTGCCCGCACCTGTCCACCTCCAGAAGGTCCCACCTCCGTCATGAGCACTTGCAGCAACCGCAATCGACGATGGTCCCAGTAAGATGAGCAAAGGTTCGCAGCCCAGCGGCAGAGTCTTCTTCTCTCTGTGGTCGGGCTGGGAAGGATAACCCGGGGCAGGGCGAATGCCCTGGTATTTCACCTTCAGCATGTCCTCCAAGGACAGCTTCTCATCAGGCCTTGGCGTGGAAGCAGCGAGTTCCAGAGGAATCAGCTTGCACCGTCGGGAGCCCGGCGAAAAGCCCCACAGCGTGGTTCCTTATGCTATCAAGCTCGATGGGGCTTTTGGTTGTGAGCCGGCACCACGGGCTCCTAAGCCCCGGGGCTGGGGGGGCGGGCACTTCAAAAACCGTTCCGCGCCAGCCGCTAGCATCCGAAACCCAGTTTTCTGCGAGCTTCGGATCTTCAGATGGATCAGCTCGGCGAAGGCCTCCGCAAGCCGGTCTGCCACGGCCTGACAAGAATCCGACAATGCGCACCCCGCAGTAGCATTCAAACATCCAGGCATGCTGACAGCCTCCAGGAGGATTGCCTGATCAATCTCGCCCTTCTCCTCGAATTTCTGGCGTTGCTCGTGGCATCCGATGCCGCCCGTGCAGGCAAAAGCGGAGATGTAGTCGGAGTAGCCCTGCAACTGGTCTGAAGCAAGCAAACGCTCGCTCGGCTAGTGACGGCTACGAGTTTTGTGCGGCAGTCCTTCGGGGCAATGAAGTCACCCTGGCACCAGTATGTGGACTCGCCCATGTCCAACTGCTGGCGCAGCCCGTAGAACTTGCACTTCACGGTGTCACGGTCCTCGCTCGTGTAGACCTTGCGTGACTTCGTGGACACGGCAGCTCCGTGCGGACCTGGTGTCCGGCTTGACCTGCACCCGAGCGGCCTCGATGTCATCACCGACCGCATTGGCCGGATGGATTCCCACGACGCCTCACAGTCTTGCAGCCAGCTCTGCTCACATACAGTACCTGTCCACGCCTGAGCACTTCAGCAAGCCCTCTTTGACAATCCAGGCCTTCAGCACAGCAGTGAAGGTAGATTGGAGGCAGATTGCGGTCATCTGCAAGAACAACAAAGCAGAGGCTCGCGCCAACATGTCCTTCGCCTCTTGAAAGAGCTTCTTTGCTTCAGGGCCCACGCGCTCATCCTCGCCACGAGCCGATGCAAACGGGCTACGCTGCTGCTCGGCTACACGGCGATCATGTCGGAGTACTGTGCTGCCTTGAAGATGTGAGGGTAGTCGCGATTGGGGTACTTGCCGCGAAGCTGGTACACCTACCCAGCACACTCTTCGGCCAGGCTAGCATGTCGAATGCCAGCTTCAGCCGGCTCAGGAGACCTGGAAGAAGGGAGTCCAGTCGATGTATTCCATGATTTCATCGATGGGGTGGTCCTCACTTGCTCCAGCAGCTTGCTTTCCTTGCTTCACTAAGCCTGAATCACCAAGGGCTTTCTACTGCAGCAGACCTTGATGCACAAGTTGCCAACGAACTTCCTGGCTCGTGGTCGCGCAGACTCATTGTGATATGATGTGCTGGAAGGATCTCCGGACGAGGGCCGTCAGAGGCAAAAGTGCCAGCATGACGGCTTCGGCGGCAGCTTGCCCCAATCCAGCTCAGGCTTCTTGGACTGCGCCTGGAACCGCAGGCA